ACTTTATAGCAATGAGGAAAAGTGCTTTCCCCCTGCCAAACAGCAAAATCATTCAGTTTGTAGTGATTTTTGTCAAACTAAAAATGGAAAAGTGATATGTTGTTGTAATTTTTGACATTGCTATATCATGGTTAAAGAACTATTTTAAATTCTTTTTCTGGGTTCTTCTGCTTATGTACATCATTTGCCCATTTTTCTTTTGGGATCTTAAAATTTTTCTCTTTGATCTTTAGAAAGCTCTTTAAAAGTAAGGCGTAAACTATTTGTCTGTGATTTTTGTTGCAAATATTTTTCCAGTGTGTCGTTTGTTTCTTGACCTATTTTTGTAGTGTTTTTGCTACAAAGATAATTTTGTTTAAAATAGTCAATATTTTCTTTCCTGGTTCCTGATTGGGGGCCATGTTTAGGCCTTCCTTATACTGAGATTATAAAAAATAAATGTCCTATTTTTGCTCCATGTACTTCCATAATTCCATATTTTTATATTTAAGTATTGAATTCACCTGGAATTTATTTTAGTGTCCACTGTGATTTATGGCCCAAGCCTAATTTTTTACAGATAAGTACCGAAGTTATTTAGCATCATTTAGCAAAGAATTCACATTTCCCCAATGAATGTGAACATCACCTTTAACATGTGCTACATTCCCACACATATTTGAATTTATTTTTTAACATTCTAGTCCGCTCAATTCCTGCCACACAACAGAACAACATTGTTTTAATTATTGTAGCTTTATGTTTTAACATTTGGTAATGCTAATTAGTCTCGGGTTTTTCCATTTTTAGATTTTTTTACTGGATATTCTTGCTTTATATTTTTCAATGAACTTTAAGATCATTTTGATGCCTGGGGGAAAGATCTGTTGGTATTTTTATTGGATGACATTGGATTTATAGATTAACTTAATGAAAATGGATATATTTATGATTCTGAGTGTTCTTATCCAAAAACACACTGTGCTTTTATCTATTCAAGTTCCCTTTTGTATTCTTCAGTTTCACTTTATAGTTTTATTCATAAAGAGCTTGTACATTTCTTGTTACAGTTATTCTTAATTATTTTATCTTTTTGTTGGAATTATTATTGGACTCTTTTCTTTCATTGCATCTCCTCATTAGATGTAGTGTGCATATGGGAAGGCAACTGGACTATTTGGCAATTAACAGTACATTTAGGTTCACCCTATATTTTACTGATTTATTTGTTAAACTTTCTTTCTTGAAACCACAACTTTCTTCTCAGTTCATTTTTTTCTTACTGAAGCACATTATTCAGTAATACTTTCAGGGATGGGCTATGAATGATTAAAAGAAAATCCCAAGTTGTTGCAAGTCTGAAAATTTATTTATTTTGCCCTCCATTTTGAGTGACAGTTTGATTGGGGAGAGAAGACTAGGTTCCAAGTCTCCAAACCTGAAGAGAAGAGGGGTGCACAAAATTTATTGGAAGAAATAATGGCTGAAAAATTTCTAAATTTGGTGAAACTATCAACCCACAGATATGCAAGAAGCTCTCAAAAATCACAAGAATTTTTCTTAATTGCCAAAGATCATCATAATTATTTTTCTTAAGTCAATAATAGTGGGAAAATCTTAAAAGCAATCAGAAAAAAATGACATTATGTACAGAGGAACAAAAAGTGAGGAGGACAGCAGATTTATCACTGGAAATGATACAAGATAGAAGACATGGAAACATATTTAACTTACTGAAAGATAAAACTATCAACCTAGACCTCTACGCAGCAAAGCTATCTTTCCAAAACAAAGGTGAAATTAAGACTTTTTATACATACAAAATCTGAATCATCAGCAGCTACCCTACACAGTATTAGAAATGTTAAACTTTTTTGAGCAGGAGGGAAACCACGCAAGATGGAAATCTAGATTTACACAAAGGAATAAGAACCATCAGAAACAGTACTGCATTGATAAGAATGAAAAACATTTTTCATAGTATTTAAACCTCTTTAAAAGGTAAGTGGCTGCTTAAAGCAAAACTATCAACACATTATGGGATTTATAACATATATAGAAGTAAAATATATCTCAAAGATAGCACAAAGGCATGGAAAGAAACAATGGAAATATATCACTGTAGAGTTCTTATACAATATGTAAGGTGGTATAATATCAATTGAAGGTAGACTGTGAAAAGTTTAAAGATCCATACTCTGAACCCTATAGCTACCACGAAACTAACAAACAAAAAAGTTATAACTCATAAGCCAATAAAGAAATAAAAGGTAATTGTTTAAAAATGAAAAATTAAGTCTAAGGATGCAAAAAAGAAACAGAACAAAGAAGAAATGGAAAAATAGAAAAAGTAGTAAGGCAAATAAAAACGCAAATATAGCAATAATCACATGAAAAATAAATGGTTTAGAGAGTGGGCAAAAGATACAGGGATCCTTCTATATTACTTGGTACTACCTTTTCAACTTCCTCTGAATCTCTAAACATTTTAAAAAATCAAATAGTTTAAACACTTCAACTAAAAGGTAGAGATATTCAGATTGGATTAAAAAGCAACTGAATGAAAATGAAACTACAGCATAACCGTTGTCTTCTTGTACTGCATATTGCTTCAGAGAAGTCAGTAGCCACAGTGATTATTCACACTTACAAATAACTAGATTTTTCTGCTTGGATTGCTAAGCATTATTTTGACCTGAGGATTTATTTTAGAAAAATTTCCCATCATTGGATATTTTATTGTCCTATTTATTGAGTTCTCTACTTCACATCCATTCTTAGTAAGTCACTGTACCCTAGCTATATCTTTATACTTAATATTTGTCTTATTTCTCTTCATTTATGTGATTGTCTCAAGGTTTCTGAAAGCCAAGAACTGTGTTTTCAATTTCTTGTTGTTTTTAACGGATTTTTCTGCTGTAATGCTTCACAGTATTTCCTTAGCAATGCCCCTCCTCACCTCTTTTGGGTGCTTTGCCCTTCTGTCTTGCAATCCTTGTTTTTTGGAATTACGGACTTCTCAAGTTCTTCTGTAGCCTGAGACCCTTGCAGGGAGTCTTCTTTTGCCCCTTGAATTGTATTTCCTTTCTGGATAAGGTCTTCATCTGGCTCATCCCGTGTTCCTTTTGTCCATTTTTTCCCTATAGTCTTTCTGCCAACTTCTCCTGTCATTGATCTTTCTAATGTTTAATAAAAGTAGCTCAGTATAGTTTTCCAGTGTGTTCTAAGAAGGTATAAAAAGACTCTCTTTTACAACTTTCTTTATGAAGTAGAACTTGATTGTCTTCCTCTCCCGTGTATTAGTAGGAAGCCTGGGTAGCGTCTTGCATCTGTAGCCTGATCTGATTTGGGTTTATATGAGCCTTCACTGTTGATCTGGTGCATACTCTTGATTGCTGCCTATGTGTTTCTATTAACTCCACTGTACCAGGGGCTTTATCTTATCTCTGTGTGCTTTGACTCCTCCACTGAATTCAAAGGAAACCCTAAAAAATACTTCCTGTCTCTACAGAGAGTCCTCAGGAACAGCTGGGAGCCTCAGTGCCTGAGGGTCTCGGTGTTTTCCCAAGCTGCCTTTCGGTGTCCCACACGGCGCTTTTGAAATTGATCATATTAGCCTGAATTCTGGTTTCCTTTCTTCTCATGTACCCTTGTTACTGAGAACTACTTGGGGCATGTGAGATAGTAGCCATGCCTTTATAGAAATCTTTTTAATTCTGTTTTTTATGTCCATACTCACATATTGGATGTTTATGGCATGAGGTTGAGCTGTTCTTTCTCTCTTTCTTGTAAAGTTTTGGATGCAGATTTACTAATTTTGCTTATTTTTTTTTAGGTATTGGTAAAGAGAGAGTCTATGAACTGAACTGATCTAGCTCTTTATTGAGAATTGCCAATTTTTATATTAATCATTTTAAAAATATTTCTCTATCCTATCCTAAGTGATTTGCAATTTTTTCTAAGTTAGCTAAAAATAATTTCACAATAAATTAATTCCATGCTTTGCCATGGACATGTCTCAAAATCTTTAAAGTTTTAATATTGTAACCGGCTGCCAGAAATAAACAATTCTTGCTTCAAGTTCATACTTCTTACAGTGAGATTTCAATATCTCTATGTGGGGGAGATAGTGGGGTCTTTATTTAATCGAGAATAGATTCTGATTTTTTTAGTTTAAGTCTCTCCAGAAAAAGAGATTTGTTTGACTTCAAATACTGCGAGAATTTCTGAGAGACCTATGGCACACAAGGAATTTGCCCTTTGAGAGACTAGCTGAAATCCTGAAGACTCAGCAGAGTAAAGATACTGAATTTACTTTATCATTTCATTGGTTATTAAATTAAAAGTGAAAAACAAAGTATAACCTTTGAGTTCAGTACCTTCATCCCCTTAGGTGCCCTTTCATTTTGAAATTAACTTAAAAACACAGTATGTCCCCCTGAGCACCTGGGGCAATCTTACCTTTGCGTTGTAACCTAAGAATCTCCACAGAAACGGTATTAAAGCAGAGCTAAAGAGCTGAGATTTCAAGTAACTGAAAAGCACACATAAGTTTTTTAAAAACTGTGATAAAAAAATTTTAACACCATTAAAGGGAAACTGATAAAGTAATGTGATGTGGTATTACAAAAAATTATAATTTGTACCTTCTGACTGTACATTTTGAAACATGCCACAATCATTCCTTGCCAGTCAAAGCCCAGACACACTCTCTCTCTCCACCCTTCATACACTCCCAGGCGTGTCATACGCAAACATCCCTATACCACAGCTGTGTCAAAAGTAATGAAAAGATGTGAGTCTGCCTGGCACATACAGCTCGAAGATCTTCTCGTGACTTCTTCCCTCACTGAGCACCCTCTGACCACCCTAAATTACCAATCCCTCTTCCCATCTACCCACCTACCTGCACGCATGCCCCGCACGCCCGCACTCCACGCACCCACGCACTCACGCACCCACGTACTCACGCACGCCCGCACGCCCGCACGCCCTGTGCATCTCAGGCCCTTCCAATTACCACTCTGGTGTCCCTATTACTACTGGAAATTTCTTGTACTTGTATTGGTTTGCTCTCTGTGAATGTGCCTCTGTCCAAAAGAAGGAATCTTATCTGTCTGATCTGCTAACCTATCCCCAACCCCCAGCACCTGGAAGAGTATACGGCACACAGTGAGTAGGTCATTAAATATTTGGCGATTAAATGTTTAGATCAAATAGTTTCACAGTGAACTGGAGATGAGGGTGACTTAATTGTCTCTTAGATTAGGATCTTGCCGTCAGTTAGAAATCTTCAGAATATACAGGTGTTTCCTCGCCCGGGAAGCCAGACAGAGCAGAAGGTTGTGGAAAAGAGCTGGCTCAAAACTTGGATCGATCCCAAACACGATGTTTCTTTCCAGGCCTGAAAATCGACGGACACTGTCAAACACGATGTGATCGCCCGTGACATTTGATGCCTTTTCGAATCGTATGAACAGATAAGATTCCTCACTGAGCTCAGAACTCTCTCTCTTCCTCATTGCTCTTTGAAGCTTAGGTTTATATTTGTGCACATCGCTTGCTTTGCTGCAAAGCACAGCAATGTCCTTGTGGGAATAACCATTCTTCAAGAGAAATTGGCATTTGTTTTTTATATAAACCACTATCTGCTCCAAGTCCGAGTACTCCGTAATCTCCAAGTTGCCTGGAACACCCTGAGCCCATTCAACTTCACGGAGCATCTTCAGGGATCTAGCGGGGATGTTAGGTGGCGGATTTTCTCTGACCTTGCCCACTATTTCCTGTAGATACTTGGCTATTGGGTCTGCATTGCGGACCACTCTGGTGAGCTCTTCTCTTGGGTACTGGTCTTTGAGACGGGGGAGGCCACTGAACTCCAGATGGCTAGTCTGAAAGTAGTCCAGAAAGATCCAGAGAATTCCAGGGCAATCCTCGTCTCTCTGCATGATGGTTTTTGCCTTGGTATACCAGTCCCCGTCTTCCAGGCGGAAATTCTGAGCTTCATCGATGATGATGTGTCTAATCTTTTCAAAATTTGAGTTTGTTTTCATGAAGGTTTTTCGGGTCACTGCCTGGCAGATGTTCTTGTGGCTGCAAATGTAAGAAACACAGTTAAGTTTCCCCAATAAAACAAAGAAGTGGATTCTAGCCTTAATTTCCTTTGGGCATAGTCAATACAATAGGGATCTTAGAGTATCAACTTAAAGCCGCGGCAGCCAAACTTACTTAAGAAAAGAAAATGAATACAGTCAGGCTGCATACCTCACGAAATCCTGCAGAGGCTTGTTCTCACAGATGTAAAGAATGTCCCCTGGTTGACAGAGAAACACATTCCTGATCTTTTCCATGACCTTAAGAGCCAGGATGGTCTTCCCTGATCCTGGTAAGCCATGCACGAACAGCTCTCTGGTCTTGTGAAAGTTCTTCGAAAGCAACTCATACTGTTTATCTGTGAGCAGGTTCAAAACCTCAGAGCCCAGCTCTTCGCTTAAGAAAGATCTGAACCCACGCAAAACTATCACTAAGGACTGTAACAGAGCTTCCATCTGCTGCGTGGTCGTCAGCGTATAGGACTCAGGGTATTCTTGCAACTCTGAAATACAAAGGTTCCTTGATGTTCCATCAGGATCCAGGAGGAAGGCAAAGGGAACGATGCACAGTTTTCCGGTGTAGCCACCTGTGTTCACCAGCTTCAGCTTTAAGGCACAGGCAACTTTCATACAATAGTCCTTCCAGGCCATGCCATGCTCCCTGAAGATGGTGTAGAGGGTTGGACGTTTGTCCTTGGAAAGTAGAAGAGCGTCGCAGATGACACCCTGATGCTCTGACAGACCCACATCCACAGCCCAGCTTTGAGAGAAAATCAATACTCCTTGAGAGACTAGGCGCATTTGCTTATTTATTAAGAATCTGAGTCCTTTATGTTGTGAGAACAGTTCCTTGTAGAGGCTCTGTGGTCTATACATTACGCTGTCTGATGATACTAGACAGGGGAAGAATTGGACCAAATTAGAGAATTCAGCAACATGCTAGTAATCATCATTGTACGTAACAGATTCGATCCACATTTGCATCTCCCACGTGTTAGTTCTAGGTTGTGCATCAGTAACAAGATAAAACGATTCCAGTCCAATGGAGCTGATAAACGATGGGCATAAACAGAGATAAACAATAATTATGACCCAAGCGGTATGTGAACACCAAGGAGAGGTGCAGCGTAGGAGAGAAGAAAATATGAAGGCTTTATGAAGAAGGAAACACCTGAGCTGCTTCTTCCAGGGTCATTGGGAGTTAGCCAGGAGGAGGATGGGAGAATAGAGAGGCAGGCAAACCGGTACACGAGGAAAGCGCGGAGGCAAGAAACAGCAAGGTGCATCCAGGCGCGCCACCAGGCGGTGTGTGTGGCTGACGTCTAAAGTGAGAGGCAAAAGAATGGAGATGGGGAGGAAGGTCTCACAGGGCCCTGTTAACACCTGGCAGTGCTGACTATAGTTAACAGCATTGCATTGTAATATACTTGAAAGCTGCCAAGAGAGATCTTAAGTGTTCTCAACTCACACACACAAATGGTAATTATGTGAAGTGATGGATATGCTAATAAATCTTATTGTGGTAATCATTTCACCATATATGTGCATATGAAATCATCATGTTACACACCTTACACGTGGTGTTGTCAGGTATAACTCCATAAAGCTGGGGGTGATGCCTGGCAAAGCTATATATGCTTTATGATTTCACCTACACGGTATTCTGTGCAAGGCAAAGCTATAGGGGTGGAGAGCAGATCAATAGCACCTAGGGGTGAGGGGCTGGAGGAGGCCGTTTTTTGGTGGCGGAATCGTTCTGTACCTTGACTGTCATGGTGGCACACAAATCTATACACGTGTAAAAACCGTTAATCTGTGTACGGAAAAAGGCCCATTTTACATTTGTCACTTTAAAAAGTTAATTCTTAAAAGTGCTTTTTAAACAACAGTTTGGATACACACACACATACAAAAGGCTCCCTTTTTTTGGGGGGGTCACAAGCCCAAATTTGGAATCTAACCAAAACTATGAACCCTCTCCTCAGAAAAAAACACAGTACGCACAGAATTTACATTTTTCATTCCACACAGAGGGGAGAGACAAGAATGAATCCAGATTCCCGCGTTTGCCTGGATGAAGGAGGATGGACCCTTCCACCAGCCAAGATAATGTGAAAAGAATACTTAATACGGAATAACATGCAGACTCTGAAGAAGACGTAGAAGACCATCAGAGTGAGGGGGGTTGGGAAATGCTCGGCCGGGGGCTCCTGTCGTGTGTCAGGCTGCCCCGCAAGCGGTGGGACACGCCAGGGAAATCTGCCTGGGCTCAGAAACACTGCACTTACTTTCTATACAAGTGGACTAAGCGCAGGGTGCCTCCTACTACTGTTTCGATTAACATCATTCCGGGATGATGAGCCAATAAACTGAAGCAAGTAAGGGAAATAATGTATATAAATATAAGAAAAGTTAGTTCAAAATTAGCTTTGCTTTTGAATTAGTAAAAGCATTAAGTAAAATGGAAATGGCATAACTTAAAACTAGGAGCTTTATTACCTGCCTGCAACTCACAATAAAAAAAAATTATAAAGATCTATTATAGGAATAAAATTTAACATATCTGGCAACAGTATGGATAAAACTTTGAAACTATTAAGCAATATACCATATTTCACTGATTATAATTGTACTTTAATATCTCTTAAATTAAGATATATCCTGTAGCTTAACAGACAATATATTATTTTAGTGGTAAGTAAAATAATAATACAATATTATTTTCTTACATTTGATGAAATATGGTAAAAGCAGACTTGAATAAATGGCCAAGCAGTCTATGTTCAACTATGGGAAAATTCACTGTTGTAAAAAAATGATAATTTTTTCAAAATTAATTGCATTAATTGATATGCAATTAATGATGTGTTAATTGATATCAATTGATACATTGATATATCAATTAATGTAATTGCCACCAAAATAACCTTATATTATTCTTTTTTGTGTGTGTGTGGAACAAAATAATTCCAAGCCTCTAGAGGAGAAATGCTATGATAATATTACTTTAGAAAGTGTCTTCTGATATTTTTGGAATCACAATTTGGCAATATTCACCTAAGTCTACAAGTTTAACGGAGTGATAGCAAGGGTGTTTGTGAAGCACTAATCTTTCACCTGGGGGGTGGTTACACAGTTTTCACTGCATAATTATTTACTAAGTTATATCGTTGGTCTAGCTGCTTTCTGTATACACAGTGCATTTCACAATAAGAACAGCTAAAACTTAGCATCATCCATGTTGAAGAATACATAATCAGTAAAAGAAGTGGGTAAATCTGTGAGTTACCTTGGGACAAGGTGTACATATGCAGTACTTGGATGTAGCCCTGTGCTTGCTTGTAGCTGTAGTGCATTCATGCTCACTGCTGAATGGTAGTCCATTATGTGAATACACTACAATATATTGATGCATTATTGTGACAACAGCTAATTTGGCTGTTTCCCATTTGGGGCTATTCCAAACAGAGAACTCAGGAGCACTATGAGATATCGGCAGCCCTCCAGTTATAAACGTTTCCTGACGTATGGGCATGCATTTTACTTTAGAAACTGGATAGAACTGCTGAATGGCTGGCTGAGTATTCAAATAACCGATTACACAAGGTGATGTCAAATTTGTTTTCCAAAGGCATGGGGCCGACTTAAATTCCCAGCCACAATGTAAAAAAGATCCTGATTTCCCACGACCTCTCCAACACCTGCTATGGCTTGAGCATCACTTCATATCTTTCTTGGGCATGTATGTGTTTCCTTTTCTGAGAAATGCATCTTTATTACTATTGCCTGTTTTCCTGCTGGGTTGTTTGTTCTTTTAAAAATTTATCCAAGGTCTTTTTATGTTCTTGATACCAAACTTTCGTCACCTACGTGGATTGTAAATATCTTTCAAGATTGTAATTAAATCTTTTCACTGTTTTGAGGAGCAGAAGTTCTTAATTTTAATATAGCAAAATGTATCAGTCTTTTGGTTTAAGTTTAGTTGTTTTGTGTCTGGTTTAGGAAATCCTTTCCTACCTGAGTGACACAAAATTATTTGTGTACCTAATACAAGTTTAAAAGGTTATTTTCTGACATTTATGTCCTAAAACCTTCTGGAATTGATTTTTTTCTATAGCATGAAATAGGAGTCCAATTCTTTTTTTTTTTTTTTTTCCATATGGATGAACAACGGTTCTGTTCTGAAGAAACCACCAATCATGAATTACCTGGGAAATACCGTTTTTGCTGCTCTTCCAGACATTCCAAATTCTTATGAGTGCACACGCTCCTGCTGCGGGGTGTTGTGGACGACAAACTCAGCTCAAGGAGCATCTCAGAAAATCTGGAAAGATCTTAGGAAACAAGAACAAATGGTTCAATATGCAAAAAGCTGACCCCCACCTTATAGCTGAGCTGTGTTGCGAAGTCTTTCACTCAGTCTTAGAACCCAAGTCTTGGCCCCCGTATATTTGATTTACATCCCAAGTCAGCTCACAAAAGCCTACTGATATCTTGGGGGGGAAAACTGGTGTGGAGCAATCTTTGAGTCTTTAAGTTTTAATCTTATTATATTGAAACAAACTGTTTTTATATTTGTAGAATGCTTATGTTGAAAAAGGATTAGAAGGTGTGCTTCTGAGCTGGTTCTGAAACAACTTTGTCTAGACGCTTGAAGAAGTTACCATTGATTTTCTTTTGTCTAATTTCTCTCAGGCTTTCCTTTTCCAAAGTGGTTACATAACAACAACTTGATTCTTCAGCTCATCAGTCACAGTGACTATCACCTGTTGGCTTTGGAAAGGCAAAGCAGGAAGCGGGAGAGACAGCCACAGTTGGGCCATCTTGGAGCTCAAAATGGAAGTGGGTTAGTAAGAAAGGGAGAATGTTTAATCCAGGGAACCATGCAAAATGGGAAGTCAGGGGCAAGTGAAAAGGAATTTCCTGAATAATTAAATGTTGAGTTAATAATCTGAAAAAGAAAACAAGAACCTTAAATATGAACACAAGAGATCCTGTGAAGATCGGAATCCTCAGGTCAAACGGCCCCCCTGTAGCACCCTCTAGTGGGTGGACTAGGCTAGGGCATCTGCTGAATGCAAGGTATTGAAGGTGGGCAGAGGGAAAGAAGGGCAGTGCCCATCTGCCACATCTCTAGGAATTAATAAGTCAGATACCTGCAACTCAGAGAGTACCTCTCTTTCCCAGGATTCTAAAGCAATACCTCCCTTTGCTCCCTCCCAACCCCACCCTCAGCAACATTACGGTGATTGTGGATTCTGTTCCCTGACCTGGGTCGGTTTCTGTCATCCAAGCCACCCATTCCTTTGTGGCCAGCTGTCTCACATAGCTGTCCTTCACCTGCCAGGAACTGGGCTCTTTGGCAAACACCGCACAGCAGAAGCGTTCCACCTTGACCGCACAGACATATCCGTGGAGGGCTCTCTGCTTGTGTACTTCAATGAATTTGATGGCATATTTTATCCCACGCTTCTGGGTACAGAAATGATGGACAGGCAACTTCCTAATACAGCTACTAATGGAGTCACTCAGGGTGCCACGTTGTATTTTCCCTTTTTCACATCCGATGACTTGAAGGGTCTCATCATGCACCCCCCAAAATATGTATCCTCCTTCAGTGTTTGCAAAGGCAGACACACAACTGGGGAGACTCTCACTGAAGCATTTTGATACTTCTGCTGAGAACATTTTAAGTTCAACATGGGTGGACTTTGTAAAGTTGAGCTTTTCCAGGTACTGAAGGTGAGTTCTGTCAAATAAAGCAGCAGCTGAGGCCTTTATGCTACTTTCACTTTGTACACCGTCCTCAACATTCTGTGGACTTAACAAGAGGGAATTGTGAATATTCGTATTCATAAGAGGCTGACTCTTCCTTCTGAGGAATGCCAGTGCGTCCTGAGGGGACATGACATCAGTGAAGGCTCTATGCCTGTGGTACAAATTCGAGCACAAAGTAGCGAGCCGTACACCAGAGGACTTGGCGTCCCATGATTTCACAAAAATAAAAAAGTTGTCTTCCTTTTGCATCTCATCTAAATAACCCCGGAAAACCGGATGCTCGTTCAGTCCTACTCCGTCTCTTGCATAGTTGTAGTTTTTATTCTCAATCTCAATCTGGACCACGCCTCCACCAGAATTCAGCAGAGCACATACTGCACGCGAGATGATGTCATCCTGTGTCTTCCGCAGGCAAGGGTCCACCTCATTCCTTTTCTTATTCCCAAGGATGACTTTTCCTACATTTACAACATAGTCAGCAAAGTTTGTTTCCAAATCAACCTTGAGATTCATTTTCTCAGCACTATTCCTAGTCTTGCCCTGAAATATTCTCCTAAAAAACAGGAAGAGAGAACCATTAGAATAGGACAAGAATAGGGGAGGTAGGATTCGACGGTTTGAGGCCACTCTTCTGAAGCGGACCACTTTATTTATTTCCCCTGCACTTGACGCCAGTTGAGGAAATATACAACAGGTTGAGGAAATAAGTCTGCCAGAAGCCCACTGCCTTCACAGAAATGATCAAGAGACTATTTTCATGCCGATTTTGCTAATTGTTTCTTTCAAGGTCTCTACATGACAAGCTCTCTCAAGACACCTGCAGAGAACAGGGAGTATCACATCTTCACAACCACAGTGCAAGACTGAAAGCAGGTGTGAATGATACACAACCCTGAAGCTGCCAATCTTTGGCCAATCTCTGGCAGCTGAGGAGGAAGAAGAAGCAACTACACTACCTCATGCATAATCACAAAACCCTCTATTATGAGAGACTTCGCTGCGACCCAAGAAGATGTCACATTATCCGGACAGTGTCCTAGCTCTGTCACCCCCCACCACCCCACATATACACTTCCTTCCTCAAACACCTGGATGCAGGGACCAAGAGATGAAGCCCAAGAGAGAAGCAAGCAGCATCCTCTGGACAAGTGTGAAGACAGAGCCCAGGACGAAAGCTGTGGGACAGACCCAAAGGATCACCAGACAAAGCTGGAGCAAGACAGTGACAGGCTCCAGTGGCGGCGCCTGAGTCTGTGCAATTGATGGGATTTATTAAGTTAGCCAATGGAGACTTTGAGAATAAATTAGTAATGGGGATTTAGGAAAATATGCAAATACAGATGCAAGATAAGACAATAAGATAAAAATTAAAAGTAGTAGAGAAAACAACGTATAACTATAAGGCATTATATATGGCGCAGCTCTAAATAAAGTGACAGTCATAATAACATAACCTTTGACTATTGTTCTGATCAGGAATGATGATATAATTGTGCTGTCAGGGTGCGGGGGGATTGTGAGTGCAGGGAAAGAAGTGCGAGAGGTCGATTCCTTTATCTCCAGAAACAGACAATATCTAAAACTGTGGGGAAGGGTGGCAGAGAGAACACATGTTTAGAAATATATACTTAAATACCAAAAGTAAAAGCCATAGAGGCAAGAGCAGGAAAAGTGGACGAGGATGGGGCTGTGGGATTTCTTACCTTTCGTAGAACTCTGTCTTTCAAAAACCACGTGAAGGAGACTCCGCTCCCAGTCTGAGGAGAGTACCAGGGACTAGAGTACTCTCCTGTCTGAAACAACGAAAACATTTTTGGAAGAAATAATGGCCAGAAAATCTCTGAAGTGGATGTAAATGATGCAAAATCAAGATCAAGATCCAAGATATTCAACAAGCACAAGAAACAGGAAGAATACTATAGCAGGCACATCACAATTAATTTGCTCAAAACTAATGATAAAGAGAAAAATCTTAAAAGCAGTCAGAGGAAAAAGTTATATCATATATAGAGGAACAAAAAAATGGCAGACTTTTTTGTCATTAACAAAGCAGGTGAGAAGGTAATAATAGATCAACGTCTTTAAGACACTGAAAGAAGAAAAACTCTGTCAACCTAGAGGTGATACCCAGTGAGAATGTCTTTCACAGTTAGTTTAACTCAACAACAAAAAGACAAGCAATCCAATTTTTTAAATGGACAAAGGACTTAAATAGACATTTCTCCAAAAAAGACATATAAATGGCCAACAAGCATATGAAAAAATGCTCTCCATCATTAGTATGTTGGGACATGTAACTCAAAAGCACAATGAGACCACTTGACAGCTACTTGGAGAGTAACAATAATAATAAAAGGAAAATAACAAGTGTTGGTGAGGATATGGAGACATGGAGTCCATATACATTGCTGATGGGAGTATAAAATGTTGCAGCCACTGTGGAAAATAGTTTGAAAGTTCTTCAAAAAGCTAAATATAGAATTACCACATGACCCAGCAATTCCGCTTGTAACTATATACCAAACAGAATTGAAAAAAGGCAATCAAATGAATCCTTGAAACTCAAGTGGGTTGCGGATGTTCGCGGCGGCAGCGCTCACCACGGCCAAAAGGTGGAAACGACTCCAGCAGCTCCCGACAGCCGCGTGGATGAACAAGCTGTGCTACCTCCCGTGCAACAGAATGCCAGTCCACCGTAAGAAGGAATCAAGTACTGATACGTGTTTCAGCTTGGATGAACTCTACAGTAAGAAAGAGCCAGACACAAAAGGTCACTGTTGTGGCCTGTATGTTTATGTCCTCCAGGACTTACATACCGAAACTCGGATCTCTGTTGGGATGATATTAGGAGGTAGCGCCTTTAGGGGGTCATTAGGTCATGAGGGTGAATCGGTGCCCTTACAAAAAGGGACACCAAACTACACACACACAAAAATCAGTATACTGAACTTTGAGAAAGTCTTTTTATTGAAAGACCCAGTTGAGGGAATGAAAATACAAGCCCTTGACTGGAAGAAATACTTGCAAACGATACACCTGATTAAAAAAACAAACAAACTTGTATCTATCTGACTTCTTTTTTTTCCTAACTTCTAAATAGAACTCTTGAAAGGCAATAATAAGAAAACACACAGCCAATTTAAAAATGGATCAAAGGTTTGAACAGATATTTCACGGACGAAGGTATATAGATAGCAAATAATTACATAAAGTGATGTTCAACATCATTAGTCATTAGGGAAATGCCAATTAAAACTACAACGAGATAATGCTGCATGCCTATCAGAGTAACTGAAACAACAAAGCAACAGGTGCTGGTGAGGATGTGGAGGAAAGGGAACTCCCATACAGTCTTAGTAGAAACATAAAGCGCAGCCACTTGGGAGGAGAGTTTGGCAGTTCCGCACACTCATCATACAACCAAGACAGTCCACTTCTAAGTGCTCGAAAGAAATGAAAACATTTGTCCAAAGACTTGTACGTGAATGTTCACAACACTTACATTTGTAAAAGCCACAAACTGGAAACAAACTAAATGCTTATCAACAGAAACAAATTTTGGTTATCCATGCGATGCAATAGTACTCGGCAATAAAAAACTATGGGTACCCAGGACATGAATGAATCTCAGAATAAATATTCTGATCGAAAGAAGCCAGACAAAATTTTAGAAAATAAAAACTGTACTATAGTGACTGAAGCCAAGCATTTGTTGTTTGGGGATGGGAGTGGAGGACAGAGGAGTGAGAGGGAGGGGTTGCAAAGGGCTTTTGGGAGTGATATACATGTTCACTACCTTGATTGCAGTGATGAGCTCATATGTCAAAAGGTATCCAACTGTATACTTTCAGTATGTGCAGTTTATTGCCTGTCAAAAATACCCCATAAGGCTATTAAGAACCAGATAGAGGAATGATTATAAAAAATAAGTAAAAGCTATTCCACTATATTATAATGAACTCAATAGCCTGCTAGGAGTGTAGATTTATGTGCCTGCATTACTGAGTGTTTCCCATAGAAAGTACACTTATGATAGGCTTAGTGTTACAGAGCCAAATTTTGCAGGCTCCACGTGGGGACCTTCGTGTGCCCCACCATGTTCACTCGATAAGAACGACCACCCCACCCTGCCCTTTCCCTTGCATATTGGAAATGCACACTTTTCAGTGTGGAAAACAGCAGGCCATTCCAATTGCCAGAGAAAATTACATCAGCAAAATAAGAGAAAACGCTCTCTCTTCCTTCCAGGTGCATAAAAGCAGAAAGTATTCCATTTCATAAAGTTGCCCTGGCCAAGGAATCCTCCAAGACACCTGGGCTTCAGAAACTGTTTCTTTGGCCCGTGAAGTGTCTATTAGCCCTGACGAACACTGTAAATGGTTGTTTACTTAAATGTCCTGTTGCAACAATAATATTGAAAATGATTTGTTTTTTGATAGGCATAATAAACACCTGTGGATCTTCCTAGTCAGGCCATGAACAGGTCCTCACATTCCTGTCTTCCACTTTCAAGAAAGTACAACAAACTTGTGATTGCTCATTTTCTTATTCAAACAAAAGGGTCGAAGAGTCTCCCGACACTTAGAAGAGCACTTTTGACACAGGAGGCCGTTCTGAGCCCCTCACCTGCCCCCTCTTCTGGCCACAGGGACTCTCACTTCCTCGCCTGACAGATTCAAGAGAAATCAGGTTCTCTTTTTCCCCCCAAGGCAGGCACAACCTCTTGCATAAAGTGATCACATAATTACACAAAGTGATGTTCAACATCAGTACTCGCCACCTTTGGGTGGGGCACGCCCAGGCCCACATTGAGTCACCTACTTCCTCCTGGAGACCGGCTCGGAGGCTGTGGATGAGCCCGCAGGAGCCAAGCCCAAGTCCCACCGTCCAACATCCGCTCCCTCCCACGCTGGTCCTCAAGGGCTCCGTTCTGGCTCCCAGCCAGTCACCTGCAAAAGTGGACCAGAACCACTCGCCGCGGCCTAGCCTCTGCGCGCAGAGCCCACGCAGCTCTCGCCACCCCCTCGATGGGGGACGTGGGCCTCGGGGCCTGGCTGGGAGCCCGCCTGCTGGGAGCCGTTCCGGTTCGAAGACTGGCATGCGGAGCCAGGGGCTCCCAGGCACTTCGCGGAACACAGCGACCAGGACGCGGGCTCCGTGCGTCCGCAGACCTCATCCTCCCGGGCTCCACCTTCGGGAGCCTCGGTACCTGCTGTAGCTGTTTCCTTTAAACTTCTTCCAGCTCCTGAACTTGAACCGGGGGTGGGGAAGGGGAGACTCGCACCAGGCTCGGGTTGGTAAGCTTGGGGCTGCCCGGCTGCGCGCCTCTCCTGCCTCCCCGCTCGCCAGGCGCGGCAGGCCTTCCCGCCCCCGTCCTTCCCTGCCCGTTGGATGGAAGTTGCTCCTGCTGAGTGGGAGTCCACAAACCCAGGCTCCCGAGCGGGAAAGGCGCCCCCGGGGCAGCGACCAGCCCCGCGGGCTGCGGCTGCTGCACCCCGCCTTCGCCACTGCGGGGTCGAGGCCGCGAGCGGACCCGGGGAGAGGAAAC